GCGCTTAAGTATGATTGACACACCTTTTTGGCCAATTCCTTATCATTATTGACAGAATCGGACAGTTTATCAATAAATGTGTTCACAGTTTCCAATGCTTTCTCTTGCGCTTCATTTCTCGTCGTCTTAAGGATAATATCAATGCTATTCAATCGATGCAGTAATCCATGTGAAGCTACTTTTATCTCTTCCCTTTCGACTAACATTTTGTTTTAATTAATAAATTAAATGTTAACTTCCAATGCCTTTCAGTATTATAATAAATAATATATTGATTAGGCATTCATATAACTATACATACCTTCCTCTACGGACCCTAATTCATCGCTTGTAATGATTGAATTAAGAGCTCGATATAACTTTCTCTTCTCATCCTCTAATTCAGACGCAGTCTCTCTCAAAAAGGCCACTCTTTTGTCGATCTGATCCAAAACATTGGTTATACTCTCTCTAATCATATGAGCTTTTGTAGGCTTTTCAATCTTCTTAGTCGATGACAACTGTTTCGAGAAATTGGTTATACAATGCATTGAAGGAGTCTTTTGTATGGAATGGTGTATCGATGAGAACGAAGCCGACGATCCATAACCCGACGAATTGTCGCTAAACTTAAGCCGAAGTACCGGTTGAGGCGATTCCGACCGGTTTCGCAATTCAACCACTTTTTGGTTCTTATCAAATGAATCCCTTCTGTGGACCAAAACTGTGGGCACACTATCACTGCTCGAACTGAACGAATTCGACGATGACTTCACCTACAATTCAATCAACAATTATAACACTTGTATTGATATCACAAAAGCATAACTTTAATATTAATCTAATTTATATAAAGTAAAGAATAAAACTAAAGAATTCTTCAAAATATTAAACGAAAGTTAAATGAAAAACAAAATATAATATAAAAGTAGAAAAATTGATCATATATTTTTCATACCGTAAATTTTTACTAATAAATGAACCATAACGTTCCAATTCAATTTTATAACTATAAAATTTTAATTATATCAGCTTGTTATTTTTATTCTATAAAATCAACTTGTTATTACTTCTTTACCATATTTGTTTTATCTTTTTGTAAAACACTTCAGTATATATTAAATGCTTCCAAAATTGACCTCTTTTAGTATAAACAGATACATGTAAACTTTATATACAGTACATGTATCTGTAAAGATAATACATTGTATTTATATTGTAATACTTATATTTGACTTAATATTAATATGCATTTATATAATTTAAGTGTATCATATTTAATTGCAATATACAGTAAAGTATACATATTGTAAAACTTGGAAAACTGGTATAAAGTTTAAGAATGCAAACTTAAACTATTATTCTATTTCAATGGATTAAGAATGCAAACGACTATAATTCTCTTTATATTTAATGAGTAAATTATATTACATAACTATATTATACTGTAATATAGAAAGTGTGCAAATGTTTTAATTGGAAAGAAACAATAACTTCCATTGAATTGCATTTTTAATATACATTTTGCAAATTAAAAAATTAAATATTTATAAGAATACAAAATTTCCTACACAAAACTAAAATGTAAATTAATTTTAAGTGATATGAATCTAGAGATTTAAGATAATAATAATAACAGCAAATTGTTGTCTTAAGACTGGTGTTTCAAAAGTGTGTTTTCACTAAAAAGAAATATTTTAAGAAAATTTGATTTTAAAAATAAAATGTGAGATAAAAATATACGAAAAAATAAATGTATAAATTTGTCGCTAAATTTAAAAAACGAGAGCGAAATATAAAGAGTGGGATATTATTGAGTATTATTTTACTGCCAATTCCTCCGACAGTTACTGAATATCTGCTTTTTTAAGTTTCATTTTTTTCACTCTCTTCTCCGGCTTTCGATTGCCAAATGTGTTACACATTATAATAACAGTTATTTAAAATAAAAGTCAGGTTTTATGGTTGAAATTTTTCCCGTTCAACAATAAAAGTAAATGTCATTTATATTTATTAAATAAGATATTTTGGATCCTTTATAATATTATTGCTCAATCCTAAAACTATTTTATTTTTAAATTATAGTAAAAGGACCATTTTTTAAATAATTGTGTTATATTTATATATTTAATTGTATTTATTAGTTATCTAGATAACAATAAAGTTATTTCTTGTAATGTAGAATTTTTCAGAAAATACATGAAATAAAAATTTGATTTATTCAAAACTATACAAACGGTGTAGTTTTGGAAATAAAGTTAGTAATTAAATAAATAGTGATTTTATTTAAAACAATATTGGATAACAAAACTAATTTAATTAATTATTTAAAGTATAATTCAATTAGTAATTGTTGTCTTTATTAATTAGAATAAATTTTGAAATAATATCAAAATATTGATGTTATTTAAAGTAAAACAACCAAAAGGATGACAAACCTTAACAAACGAGCGTTTTATGGTATAACTGGT